ATTTAACTAACCAAAGATGAATAGATGAGACCATTGTTCTGCCACCATTCCAATCTTCTTTTGAGACTTCGTTTATCCATCTGAAGCTCAGCCGCTATTTCGTCCACTGTCCACGTTTCTGCAATTATTCAAAAACATCGTCTAACAAGAAATATGCAGAATTTAGTTTAGGGCGAAAATACGGTTCGCTATGCAGCAAATACTTATAGCTTATTTCTTCGGCTGTTTTTCGTCTAGGAATCCTGCTAGTTGGCTAGTAATAACTCTCACGAAAAGCTTATAAATATGAGGAAAAAGCAGAATGACTGCCACTGTCCTATTTGTACAGCAAAGCATTTTTTGGACTCTTTTCAACCTTTAAATTTGCTTCTCTGCTAAAGCTCTTCAACCTCAAATAGGGAATTTCCACGTTTTCTCCTATCATCAAATTTATACTTGCTGTACGTTAGGAACGAAACGGAAAAGCACCCTTTTTGTTGTTTGTTTCTCTCAGTCCATCTTTTTTATGCGTTTTTTGCAGCAATGCAATGCGAAAAACGCATATTGACAAGAGGCTGTCTGTGTGTGTGTGTGTGTGTGTGTGTGTGTGTGTGTGCCTGTGTATGTGTCTGTGTCTGTGTGTGCGCTGCGCGTCTGTACCGATTTTCTTCAAACTGCAACAAAGACAAACCTTTTTTTGTAAAAAGTGACAAAATTGCGGCATGTGCTGGTGTTATTGCAGCTGCTACGGTCATTCCATCCAGCTCAATTCGTACTTCCAAAGAACCAACAGAACTCATCCACTGCAGCTTTCGTGATGATACTTTGTAGGTCTCAAATCCACGAGCATACGCATCCAATCCAGTTACTAGTTCTCGTGGCATCTACAAGCTATTAATACGGCTTATGAACGCAATCGCTTCAGCACCACAGAGGAGTCTTCGTAAAGCAACCTTCAGGCAAGCGTAGGATACCAGACCAACATTTGAATTAAATATTATTCTTGCTACAGTAATAATCACAGTTTACTGTAAAACTTTCAAAAAAAAAAAAACATACCGTGAACTCCTCTATCTCAATTTTTGGCCAGAAATGTGCCGATACAATACGCGCACTGATCGGAAATGCCTGAAAGCATCATATATATATTTATGATACTTTTGCCAGCTGTTGTATCATCATCGCATTTCTTCTCGCAATTGAAGCTGCTAGTAAATTCTCCATTTCTTATTTTGGACCTCTCTCACCTATACAATTCCAAACAGACAATACAAAAATATTCATAATAATAGTAGTGGTAATAATAATAATACTGATAATAATAATGATAATAATAATAGTAGTAATAGTGATAATAGTAAAAATAGTTGCAGTCGCAGTGGTAATAGTAGTGATAATAGTAATAATAGCAATAATAGTAGTAATAATAACAATAATG